ACGGTGTCGGTCACTGATCAGTTGGTTTGAGACTGGGGAGTTGAATTTATTTGAACCAGATTTGATTCAGAACGCGGTGGACAAGATTCAATTGGTTAGAGAGAGGCTATCTATGGCACATAGTAGATAGAAGGCTTATGTGGATCATCGGCGTTGCCCTTGGAATTTATGGTTAGAGATCACGTCTTTCCGAGCATTTCTCCGATGAAGGGCATGGCCAGATTTGGTAAGAAGGGGAAGCTCAATCTCCGTTATAGTGGTCCGTATGAGATATTAAATCGAGTTAGAGTTGTAGCATATCGTTTGACTCTTCCTCTAGATTTGTCGATGGTACATCTATATTTCATGTTTCTACATTGAGAAAATACGTGCCAGATCCATTGCATGTAAATTCATCATAGGATATTCAAATGAGTTCAGATTTGTCATATGAGAATGAGACAGTGGTCATATTAGATCGACAAGTGAAGCAGCTTTGCTCGAAGGAAATACCTTCAGTAAAAGTACTTTGGAGAAGTCAAAACTCAAAAGAAGTTACTTGGGAATTTGAGGAGATAATGTGCAGGAAATATCCGCAATTGTTTAGTATGTGACTTATTTCTCTACTTTAAAATTCGAGAACGAATTTTTTTTAAGGGAAAAAGAATGTAATAACCCAAATTTAAATAAGTAATAAGAATTTAATAAATTAAATTAATTAGGGGTTTAATTGTGAAAAATTAGAAGTATGGGGCTGATTTGGGAAATCTAGAAAGTTTGGGATTAAATTGAAACCGTTAGGGACTGAATTGAAGAAAATCAAAGTTGGAGGACTGGATCTAAAGAAAATAAAAAAATTTAGTCCAATTTGGTGGCCGAAACTTGTGACACGAAATTGGCAGTATTTAAGCTGCTTTTGTAGCAATTGGTGACTTATTTTGAAGTGTTCAGCATTAAAGAGCAATTCCCCTATGAGATTTTTGGCCGACAAGCATGTGGACCGGTCGATTGATTTTTTCGGGCTTTTTGGGGCTTTTAAGCGGCTTATTTTTTCGATTAAAAGATTTCTGGTAGTTCGCCTAAGCTTGTGGAGTTGTTTTGCATCAGTGATTTGAGGTTAGTATTGTTTTTCTTTGAATTTTCTTGAGAAATTTTGATTCGGGTCGTGTTGCAGACCCGAATCTGTGAATCGGGTTTGGATCTGTTCTGTCCGGGTGAAGAAGATGGGACTCGGGTGGATCTGGGTCCCCGCGCGGGCATCCGAGCCATTGGCCCTGGACTTGGCCAACGGGCCAAGGGCGGGCCGCGAGTTGGAGCTGCGGATCGGCCCAGAAAAAAAAAAAAAAAAAGAGTTTTGGGCTAGGCTGGGCCCAAGCTGTTGGCCCAAGCCGGCGTTGAGCCGAGCCGGCTAAGTTAAAAAAAAGAAAAAAAGAAAAAAGTTGACTGAACCGGCCAATGGGTTGGACCGGCTGGTTCAGTGGTCAAATGGCCTCAGAATCGGGAAGTTGAACCGATTCTAGAATTAAGAAGAAAAGACCTACTGGAACGAGTTGGTTCAAGGGTTCGGGGAGGTCCAGTTCGATGGGAAATTTTGTGTTTTTGATTGAACCAGCCTGGTTCAAGGTAAAATAGAAGTTAATTGGCCGATTCAGCCTTATTTTGGCCCATTCTTGACCGGTTCATAGTGATTCTTAGGGTTTTTGGGCCTTTTGAATCTGATTTTGAGGGTTTCATGGCCAAACTAGTTTAGGTTGAGATAGTTTTAGGTTAGTTTAGGCCAATTCGAGGGTTTTTAGAGGTCGATTCATTATGGTTCAAGGTTTTAAAGGTTGGTTCACTATTGTTAAGGGTTGTTGAGTGGAAATTGATGGTATTAGTGAGTCGTGTGGGTCCCGTGATGGGTTTTGGTGCCTTGGGATGTGTGCCAAGGGTACTGGGATGGGATTTGAGCTAGTTCGAGCTATGAAGCCCATTTTCTCGTGCTAATTTTGGTATTGGTGATGATTTGTGTGGTTTTGACTACAGAAACGATTGAGGAGGTGCATTTTGACCAGTGAGTTAGGTGGGAGTAACTCGGGACTTCCCTATTGGCTTGGTTTCAGTACTGTGAGTGATGATACCTTTTCTATGCATGCATTTTTCTACTGTGGTTTGGCATGACTAATTTATGTTTTACAAACTATATTTTGGTGTATATACATATGGGATATGTGTTATGTGGTTTGATATACAGTCAGTGAGCTATGTTAGTATATGGTACTGGTTTGAGATTGTGAACTATATATGTATGTATTTGTTTGGATAATATGTGAGGAGTTGTGATATGATTGGTGCCCTGATGGGTAGCCTTAGTGGGGGGGGGGGGGCGATGTTATATATTGAGATTTGGTGCCCTGATGGGCGGCCCTGGTGGGGGCGATGTGGACTTGATTGGGTGATAGCCATCTAATATGACATTGATTATGGTTATGCTTGTGATGCCTATGATTGAGGCAATCTTGTGATGTGATATTTACACTCCCACATATGTATGTTTTGATATTGGAATTACTCACTGTATTTATACGTATGTGTTATAAATGGTTTTTAAACAAATGGCTTTGAAACTTGTGGTATGATACATATCCCAACTTGCATAGACTAGGCATCATCTGTACTCACTGAGTTTCGGAACTCACCCTTTTATTATCATTCAAGATCGGGTTGGCTGTTTGTATTCCAGTTAGTGGAGATTTGACTTGAGCTTTGAGATTTGATTGATGTACGGGCACATTTCATTATGTTATCATTTTGTACTCTAGATTGCTCCTTTGTTTTCTCAGATAGGATTCTGGATCGTATTTGAGGATGTGAGTTTGTAAGATATACCTAATATTACTCATATGATATGTTGGTTTAATCAGGTGAGATGGTCTTGAGGCTGACTAGGGTCGGTGGACCCTAGTGCCGACCACGGACCCCGGTTTAGGTCATGACAATCATATATCTGTTTTTTGATAGTCGCTTATCTATCATTTTCCTAACTTCCATATGCCATTTTACACTCGCCCATTTGTCTCCTTCCAATCTTTCATCTATTATTTTACACACAACCATATGTCATTTCACAATCATTCGTGCCGTTGAGCGGTTAAAAGTTGGAATTAGCTTGAGAAGTTAATTGTGAAGTTTGCTCACCATCCAAACTAGCTTAAAATGTGTGCGTGGGCCATTCTCGAGGCAAAATAAGTGCAATTGAAGTGAAAATTCTAAGAAAAATCAGATTTTAGATGCAATGAACAGTGTTGTCACATTTTAGTTTTGTTGTGTGTCAAAAAAATAGCCATATCTTGAGGTCCACAAGTTGGATTGAGATGATTCAAGAACCTTTGTAACACCAAGGAGAATCTCTACAATTATCGTGTTTTGATCTCAATTCAAATTTTTTTAGAAGGCTGTCACAAATGGGAAAACAAAAGTTGCTAAAATTTTTAGTAGAAATAACTCTTAGCAGCAGCAGTTTTGGTAAAAAATTAATATCTCAAGCTAGAAAACTCCGATTTGGGCAATTCAAAATTCCTTACAAAAGTTAAGAGAAAGAGTTATAACTTTCATATTTTGACTTTAATCTAATTATGCCCAAAACACACCCGAAATTAAAGAAATAGAAGTTGGTATCTACATGAGTAGTAACAGATTTTTGCAACAATCTATTTTATTACAATCACGTATTTGTTTTGTGACAATTAGATATATGTTATTTGACAGTCACTGATATGTTATTTTACAATCGATTATTTGTTATTTTAGCAGAAACAGATCTTAGTAGCAGCAGTTTCGGTAAAAAATTTATATCTTAAGCTAGAAATCTTGGATTTTAGCAATTCAAAATTTCTTGAAAAGTTAAGAGAAGGAGTTACAACTTTCATATTTTGACTTTAATCTAATTATGTCCAAAACACACCTGAAATTAAAGTAACAGAAGTTAGTATTTACAGGAGCAGTAACAGATTTTTGCAGCAATCTGTTATGTTAGAATCACGCATCTATTTTGTGACAGTTAGATATCTGTTATTTGACAGTCACTAATTTGTTATTTTACAATCTATCATCATTATTTTAGGAGAAACAACTTTTAACAGTAGTAGTTTCGGAAAAAAAATTATATTTCAAGTTAGAAAACTCGGATTTGGGCAATTCAAAATTTCGTAGAAAGTTAAGAGAAGGAGTTACAACTTTCATGTTTTGATTTTAATTTAATTATGCCCAAAACACACCCAAAATTAAAGAAATAGAAACTGATATCTACAGGAGTAGTAACAGATTTTTGCAACAATCTGTTCTATTACAATTACGCATCTGTTTTGTTGCAATTAGATATCTGTTATTTGACAGTCACTGATTTGTTATAACCAAAACGCACTCGAAATTGAGGGTATTTTAAGTATGAAAATTACCTTAACTGGGTAATTTTTTGTTATAGACTTTTTTAGAATTATTTTTTTCTTTTAGCCTTGGGAGTAATTATTATTATTAATTTTCTTTTTTTAAAAAAAGTTACAAAAATTAATAAAAATTTAAATAGTACTTTAGTTTCACCTTTTTTGTTGTCTAATATTTTTTGGTTCTTTATATAAAAATTTTACATTATTTTATATACATTGCCGGTTTAGAACTGAACCAGGAGTGGGCGATCTCCGGTCTTATTTTTTGACAGTCCGGTCCGGACCGGAACAGGCTGCGCACTAATCGCTGTCTTCGCAATTGCCCCACAAATTTCTCTCTGGCTTCAACGGGGAATAACTATCGCTCCGTGCTTCCCGTGTTGCACGACAGGCTGTTCTGGTTTCTCTCTCTTCGTCGGAGATATAAATATAGAGAGAGACAGAGAAGTGGAAACAGAGAGAAAGAGAGAGATGGGAGACGACAGGAGAGTGGGTGTGGCAGTGGACTTCTCGTCGGGGAGCACAGAAGCGCTCAGGTGGACGGTGGATAACCTTGTCCGTAAAGGGACAGCCTTATTCTCATCTGTATCCTCCCAAATGCGTACTACGAGGAGGGTGAAATGCAGCTATGGGAAACCACCGGCTCGCGTACGTCTCTCTCTCTCTGGTTGTAAACACGTACATGCCAAGTCTAAATTTGCTGGCACGTTACATATGAAGGAAAAAATATGTTTTTATTGATCACCGGAAAATACAATGACTAAAACATAATTTTTTAAAAAAATATTTTTAATACCTATCAATTTTGACTTGAAATAAATGATTTTTTTAATATTTATTATCTATTATTAAAAATTAATTTCAATTTATACAGAAATCGACTATTTAAATTATTATACATTCTAATTCATATAAAATGATCAATTCTTCTAAGAGAATTGGAATTAATTCTTTTTCTTTTTCTTTTTTTTTTTTGCAGCCTTTATCCCTTTGACTGACTTTGCTAGCCCTGTGACTATGAAGAAATACGGGGTGACTCCAGGCTCTGCAACTTTGGATATTGTCAACAAAGCTGACAGGGACAAGGAGGTGAAAATAAATATATAAATTTAAATTTGTTGAGAGTTTTTAATTTGCATTTGTAAACCAGTTTGAACAAGGAAAATGTATGAACAGATCATGGTGCTGGCGAAGATCTACTGGGGAGATCCTCGGGAGAAGCTTATCGAGGCAATTGATACGATTCCCCTCACTTGCTTGGTCATGGGTAGCCGAGGCCTTGGCACAATCAAGAGGTCAAATTCTTATTTTATTTTTTTAAATTATCTTTTAATTTTAAGCGAAAATTACAGTTATTTTTTATCTTAAAATTATATATAATATTTACATATGTTTAAATATTTGATCACAATATTATACTTGTTCTTTCAAAAACTCATGTGACAATATTAGATTTTTACACTTTTTTTTAAAAGCAAAACTAAAATTAATGATTAAAAAACCAAACCAAATCAACTAGTTCAACCAGTTTATTCAAAACCGATTATGGTTCTTGTCGATTGTATGGTTAAACTAGATTACTTATTGAACGAATACTAACCGGTAATTAATATTTGGAAAAACCAACGAATGAGTTAGTTGGTTTATTGGTCACTTATATAATTATATATATAATATTAAATACAATTATAAAGTTACATCAATTGAACTTGCAGTAAAACTGATCAAACGATTAGCCATAACATGATTGGTTATGTCATTGGTTTAATTTCACAAACTTTTATTCAAATATGAAAAATACAAATAGGCCATAATTTTGAGATTGTTAATTCCATTCTATATGATTTTTTGTGCATGGAAAGATTGAATACCTTTGGATTTTGGGTTGGTCTGAAATTTGCAGGGCTATAATGGGGAGTGTAAGCAATTATGTGGTAAGCAACGCCTCTTGTCCTGTTACAGTAGTGAAACATTCCCCTCCAAAATGAAGCTACCAATCCAGTCCCAGATTGAAATGGACAAATTTCTCATCTTAGTAGGGCTGCCCTTGAATTTGATGTATATTCTGGTCATGAGGTTTCTGGCTTCCCTGTGAATTTGATTTATGCAGGAGGACTTGTATTCTATGTAATTGAAATCCGTTGCCCATGTTGGTTTTGATTATTTATAAGTTATGGGTCAGCATGAAGAAATAAATTTTGTTCTCGAAATCTCAAAATACAAAATTTATATGAAGTAATTGCATTAATTTGATTTTTTTTCTTCATACCTGCATTCCCCCGACTGCTCAGTTAGTCTAATGGACTTTTTTGTATTAATAATATTTATTTTTTTAATTATTAAAATAGGTAAATTTAAAATATTTATTAAAATATGTAAAATTAACTTTAATAAAAAGTTCGTTAAAAAAAATTGACTTTACAAGAAAGCCGATCTAGCCCACAGGGACTTCGGTCGGCAAGTACAGATAAAGAAGAAGCAAGGCAGTTGCAAGTGAAGGGAAAGAAGGAAGGACGGCTACATGTGAAAGAAGCCGACTAGCTAAGGCCAAGGAGGCCAATGGGCAGAGGTAGAGAAATAGAAAGGGAGAAGGAAGAGCGAGGTGGAGGCACAGGTGGGGGTAAGCATCAAGTGGGCAAGGCAGAGGGCGATATCGAGTACGAAAGAAGGTACAAATTTCAATGTAGTCCCTTGAGTTTGTATCCTTTTACATATAGATCCTCAAACTTGCATTAATTCTATATTTACCTAATAAAGTTAGAAACTTTGACTTTTTATCAAAGTTGATTGACTTTTATAAAAGTCAGATTTTGCATATTCTAATAAAATTTTTCAAGTTTATACATAATGAGTCATTACTCTAATAAATATTGAATTAGTATCAAAAACTAATTCTGATATTAATTTAACAAATATTATATTTTCTGATCCATTTGAATACTAATTTAACAAATATTAAAGTCTTTAACACATTAAATCAGCGCTTAACATCAAATAAATTGGTTTCTGTAACTGTTTTCTTCCTTATTTGAATAACTAATTGATTGATTGTGTAACTGTTTTTTTTTTCCATGTTTGAACAACTAATTGACTGTTTATGAATTACTTTAATTTATATGTATTTTTGTTTTTATTTATTTTTATTTTATAAGTTTTGCACACTGTTCTATTCTTTTGTCTCTCATGAATCACCATAAATTTTTTATTCATATTTTTGGGTGTAAATACTTTTATACCCATTTTTATTATGATACCAAAATAGGGAGACAATTGCTCCAAGAAGCTGCAAAATGAACTTAAATGATTTTTGCAATGACTCGTGACATTTCTTCTAAATTTGAAGGACTCCTTGAAATGGAATAACTAGGAGGTAACACTACTTTATTAAAATATTTTGCACTCTAAAAATATAATTTAACATTTGTAAATGTAATTTTATTTCATAATTAGGTACATATAATTTATCAAAAAAACATCTTATAATTTTTTTAAAATATATTTTCTATCTCTAATGTCAAATAATCCATCAACTATTTAACAAAATAAAATTGTTTTAACTTAAATATTCAACAAACTTTGAACTAAAAAACTATCCACTAAATTCAATAACAATCTGACAAATAGAAATGATAGTTGGTTAAGAGTTTTGAAATTTATATAAATGTAAGTTACATAATATTAGTAATGATAATGTGAGGGGGTTGGGTTGGGAAATATATAACCCATACCTGAAATACATATATTATACTATAATTTGATTTAAATTTGTATAATAATTTGTAATTAAATAATATTTTATATGTATTATATTAATTAAGTATATAATTTTTTATAATTATGTTGAGTATTATATTTTTTATTATTAATTATTTAAAATAAATTTATATTATCAATATATATATAATATAAAATTTGGTACAATGAACTTTAGCTCTAGAATTAAGAATTTTTGCTAGAATTGGAGAGATATTTGGGTTAATTGCAATAATATTGTTGTAATTGGACTTGATTTGATTTGATTTGATTCAATTTGGTTCAAAATTTTTTTTATTTAATATTTAACGGCATACATTATATGCCTATTTTTTTATTTATATTTTTTTAATAATTGATTTTTTATTTTTTTAAGAGTAATTTCTATTAATACAATTTAAATTATTTATATAAATATATTTATTATATAATATATAATTATTGTAATTAATTGATAGATAAATAAATATAAATAATTTAATAAATCAAAAAATTTAAATTTCTAATTTTTAAGAAAAAAATTATCAAAACTTTTATAAAAATAATATATATATATATATATATAAATATTTTTTTTTTTTGCAACCCCGCTCCAAACTGAACAAACTGTAAGTCATAGTTTTAACTTAAACGTAGATTTGCTTTGAATTTATCATTCCGTTCAAGCAATTTTTCCGTCATCGTCCGTTCGATTATTTGTTTTCTTCATGGGGTACTTAATCCATTCACATACCTAGATCAAAATGCGTTTGCAGCATCACGATAAAATTGTCTGCCATGAAGTCCAAAGCCGGCCCGAATGGAAAGATTCTTTGTCCCCCAGGTCGTTTACATCTTGTTTGTTGTCTTCGTCTCGACGTACCTGTTTGTTTATTTGAACAATTAAATTTCATTTTTTGTTAGGAGGCCGTGCGCACCCGCGACGTCAATGTTTATCGCTGCTATGTGGAGTTTGGCGTTCCCTATTGACCGGTTTGTTTGGTTTTCCGGAAAATCCAAGGCAAGAAAATGCAATTGGCTTCAATATAATTTGTAAACAAAAACTTCAATTGTATAAATAAATGTAGGTGGCACTTTGTTTATTTGGATTACATCCACTTGATTTGAAAAAGGTGCAAAACACCAATCGATTAATTGAACTAAGATAATTTATGTTCAAGACTGGGGGATCTAAAAATATCTAAAGACATGAGGGCTTTGAGTTAAATTTTATGGTTCAAATCCTTGAATATAGAGAAGACAGTATAATTTTCATATTTTGTGACTCCATCATTCATATTCATAATATAGTTTTCAAGAAACTGAAAAGAACCTTACTCCTTATCTCTATTCAGTTCATCTGATAGCAGTTTAGTGTAATTTTATTGCTTCCAAAGAATAAAATTATTTGTTTACTTAATTTATTTTTGTGTTTTTATGTCCTCAGTTGTACTCTGTATATGCGTTTGCTCATCTCTGACGTTATATTTTTGTTGGCTGAGTTTCCTAGGTGAATTTGATTGCATAGCTTTCCAGAAAACTTTAACTTGACCATAGGCCTTCACCGTAACATTTAATTTCTGTAGCTAGTTGTATGATTGTCCAATTAAAAAATCTAGAAGAGATACTTAATATTATCATTTTATAGCTGTGCAGGCGCATCAATCACCATTGGACACATCAACGAACTGTGCTAATATTCTAAAGGTGGTGGACTATACCACTCCATGTCATTTTATCAGAAAATGGTCTTTGTCTAAAATGAATCCTTAGTATAGGTTAAAAAAGGGAAAGGCCTCATTCTGAAGAACATCTGTAATTTGTGTGTGTGTTTGGAATTGAAATTAAGTACTTTGTAGAGTTGAGAAACCATATTCTCAAGTCTTCCTCACACAATGAGTGATATATTCTCCTCTGGGCAATTTGATTTTGGTGAGGTTACAAATAATTATAGTTCTTCTAAGGACGTTCTGAATGAGCAAGGCATGAATATAGGCAGACATGTTAATTCCTATGGGCAAGAAGATTGGGCAGATTCGGGGTTTGCTGGTTCATTTTCTTCTGACCATGTAAAGAACACAATGGTGGTATAACAACTATTGTCCAAATATCAACAAAATTGTCAGCAGCCAGCATCTCCAGATTTTGGCATTCTGGATGATTTTTACCCTGATGTTGCGCCCCCACCTTTTCAATCATGTCCTGCAGAGATTACGAAACTTTCCACTGTGCAGATTGAAAGTTCTCTGCAAGATAATCTCCAGGAAGAAAAGCCAAGCACAGTTCCTTTAGCCTCACTTGGCATCTTAAGGAGCTCTGGTAGAGGGTTTAGACGACTGCATGGGGAAAAGATAGAATTTTCAAGGTATGATACTGCACACATCAAGCCTGAGCCAAAGATAGGTCCACGAAAATTGTCTACTGAAGATATTTTACATCTGGCTGGTCAAAAGTTCATCCAGTCCTCTTCTAAACTAGTTGATGATATTGCGACACCAGGCCATCCCTTTGGGAGTGCATTAATTGATCTCTCATATGATGAGGCTAAAGGAGTTGAACTTGTACACAATCTTCTGGCTTCGGCTGAGAAAGTAGGCCAGCAGCAATATGATCGGGCAAGCAGACTCCTCATCCAATGTTGCAGATTCTCTTCTGATACGGGAAATTCAGTGCAAAGAGTAGTTTACTATTTTTGTGAAGCTCTTCGAGAGAGGATTGGTTGGGAAAGTGGAAGGTTAAAGAGTTCTGGGAAGAAACATCTTGTAGATCTTAATGTGGCATTGATGAGATCTGACCCTGCTATAATTGCATATCATCAAGAGGTTCCTTTCAATCAGATTATTCAGTTCACTGGAATGCAAGCAATCATAGACCATGTTGCAGAGGCAAAAAGGGTCCATGTGATTGACCTTGACATCAGGAACGGGGTACACTTTACAGTCTTGATGCAAGCTCTTGTAGAGCGACAGAAATGCCCCCTTGAGCTTCTCAGGATAACTGCTGTTGGAACCAACTCCAGATCAACAATGGAGGAAACAGGTGAGCGGTTGGCGAGTTTTGCACAATCCATGAACATATCCTTCTCTTTTGGTGTAGTTATGGTTTCAGACATGTTAGATCTCAAGGAAAACCTTTTTGGCTTAGACTCTGAGGAGACAGTTGCAGTGCATGCATCATTTACGCTGATGACCATGGTTGCTATACCAGGTCGGCTGGAATACTTAATGAGAATAATTAGAAATATTAATCCCTGTGT